TTAGCAGCGAAATGCCTTAACCACTACACCACCAGGGCTCTTTTGTTGTTATTGTTAGGTGCTATCAAGTCTGTTCTGATTCACAGCAACTCAATGCACAACAATACTGCCGGGCTTTCACCACCCTCACAATCTTTGCTATATTTAAGCCCATTGTCACAGCCACTGTGACAGTCCATCTCCTTGAGAATCTTCTCCTTTTTCATTGACCCTCTACTTTACTAACATGATATCCTTCTCGAGGCATTTGTCCCTTCTGACAACATGACCAAACTATGAGAAACGAAGTCTGGCCATCCTCACTTCTAAGGCACTTTTAAAATATTACTCTGATTGATGTGAAGAGAATAGATTGCATTGGGGCAAAATTAGAAGCAGGAGAACATGAAGATACTCTTGCTGGTTGTCTAGGAAAGAGATGATGACAGCTTAGATTGGTAATAACAGTGGAGATAAAGAAAAATAGACTGACTGTAAACATATTGGACTTAGAACTGATAAGATTAGCTCATTGCATGTGATGATAGTGGTTTGAAGAGAGAGGGAGGACATAAGAGGTGACTATTAGATTTTTGGCCTGAGCAACAGAGTAGTGTCGCTTACTGAGACAGTAAAGATTGGATGAAAACCATAAAATGTTAGAGCTGGAAGAGCTCATGCACATGGCACATGGAGAAACTGAAGATCAGTAATGGAAATTCACCTGCCTGAGATCAACCAGTGAGTTAAGGATCCCACTCTTCACATGCTCCCAGAAGCATTCATAATCTGGCCTAATAATTACTGTAATGAGGAATCACTGGAGCCTTATCTAAGATTCCCCCAGTAGATGGGAGCTGTAGGTAATTAGAATATAATTTGCATCTGTATAGATAGATTGTGAGGAGTCCTGGTGGCATAGAGTTTAGGTGCTTGGCTGCTAACCAAAAGGCTGGCAGTTCAAACCCACCAGCTGCTCCACAGGAGAAAGATGTGGCAGTCTGCTTCCCTAAAAATTTATAGCCTTGAAAATCCAACTGGGGTCACTGAGTCAGAATCGACTCGATGGCAGTGAGTTTGGTTTTGAGTTTATGTGTTCACCTGTGTGTGAATATGTTTACTGCTAACCAAATACTTTCTCCGATGATTTTATTTTATTTTTTTTTTATTGTGCTTTAGGTGCAAATTTACAGAGCAGAATTTTATTTACATTCACCATTTGGTGTACATTTGGTTTCACTCTTCAATTACCATCTCCAACCCTAAGCCACTCTCCTCCTCTCCCTTCCTAGTAACCACCCCCACCCCGTCCCTTCTTAGTTATGCACTCCTGTGTGTCCTGCTTTTCCTCCATGTGAATGTTGCCCCTCTGGTGCCCCATGGCCAATTGCTCCAAGGGGTATATCTCCGTAGAGTATGTGGGTGCATTGCCCTGGGTCAAGTGGTCTGCTTGTACATCTTATTGACTGTTGGGCTGAAAGCCAGCCCTTGGGAGTGTGTTTTATCCCAGGCCTGAAGTGTATCTTAAGGATCCCACCAGAGCCCATCTGACCAGTAATTCTGGTCATTATTGTGTTTTTGGATTTTGTTCCATGTTTTTTCTCCCACTCTATATCTAGGATCTCCAGTTTTGATTCCTTCCTGAGTGGTTGGCATTGGTAGCCGGGCACCATATAGTTCTACTGGTCTTGAGATCCATCATGTCCTAGGGCTGATTTTTAATGTAACCTTTCCTAGTTCTTATTGGAATATATGATAGCAGAGGAACAAGCTGACTGCTGGGCTCCTTCAGTGCTGCTGCCAAGAGAGGAAGTCAACAAAGTCATGTTCCCAGGGCAATGTCATATAGAGATGAGATTTCTTCCCTTGACTTTCAAGCCACAACATCACCCTTGTTGCCTTCTTCTCTGAGCATATTTCTCATTCTTAGCTCCTTTTCTTTCTCTTACTTCAAAAATAGAAGCAATTCCCAAGGTATTGTCATCAAATTTTTTCCTTATATTTTCTCTCTCAGGGAACTGACAACACCCCCATTTCTTTCTTTCAACTCTCATCCCTTGAAGGGTGACCAAAACTCTATATCTAGCTCCAATCTCATCAGTGATCTTTAGATCCTCATTTCTAACTATCTTCTTGGTATTACCAAGACTAGATTGCTAGAAGGGATGTGTCTTTCCAGAATACCTTCATATCTTTTCCAGGCCTAGGGCACCTTGGAACCACCCACAGAACCTCCTCCTCCTTGCATAACTGTTTAAGGATTAAATGAAAAGAGATTAAGTAAAAGAGAAAGCACCTAACACAATGCCTAAAAAATATTAGGCACTCAGTATGCTTTAATATTCTTCACCCTCTTCTTAATCTCCCCTAATTCTCAGAGTCATTTGAGTCCCAAAATTTAGAGAGATTTCAGTGGATAGAAATATGAAGAGAGCATGTAAAACATTAAATAAATTGTCTTGATCTATGCTTGAGAAGACAATGATAGATATCTTCATTTATAGATCTCC